TTTTTGGGAGTTTTTTTGGGGAATTTTGAGTTTTTTTTGGGGTTGTTTTTGGGGTGAATTTGGTTTTTTTTTTCTATTTTTGGGGTTGGTTTTGGGGGATTTTTTTGGCTGATTTTGGGGGATTTTTTGGGGTGAATTTGGTTTTTTTGGGGGTTTTTTTTGTGTCCCGATCCCGATTTTGGGTTTTTTTTTTCCCCATTTTTGTTTTTTTTCCCCATTTCTGTTTTTTTTCCCGATTTTGTTTTTTTTTTCCCCATTCCAGGGTGGTGATGGTGCTGGGGGCGGGGCGGGGCCCCCTGGTGGCCGCCGCGCTCCGCGCCGCTCGCCAGGCGGGGGCCCGGGTGAGGCTCTACGCCGTGGAGAAAAACCCCAACGCCGTGGTCACGTGAGTCTGATCGATCACCGATCGATAACCGATCGATAACCGATCAATAACCATCCATATGGGTCAATACGGGTCGATAGTGATCAATAATCAATGGTAGAGATCAATAGAGATCGATAGAGATCGATAATGATCCAAACCCCAACGCCGTGGTCACGTGAGTCTGATCGATCACCGATCGATAACTGATCGATAACCGATCGATACTGATCGATACTGATCGATAACCGTCGATATGGGTCCATATGGGTCAGTAGTGATCAATAATCAATGGTAGAGATCAGTATAGATCAATAGAGATCAATAATCCAAACCCCAACGCCGTGGTCACGTGAGTCTGATCGATCACTGATCGATAACCGATCGATACTGATCGATAACCATCGATAGCGATCGATACGGGCCGGTACTGATCAATAATCAATGGTAGAGATCAGTGTAAATCAATAGAGATCGATAATGATCCAATCCCCAACGCCGTGGTCACGTGAGTCTGATCGATCACCGATCGATAACCGATCGATACCGATCGATACTGATCGATATCCATCGATATGGGTCCATATGGGTCAGCAGTGATCAATAGTTACTGATACAGATCAGTATAGATCAATAGAGATCAATAATGATCCAAACCCCAACGCTGTGGTGAAATGAGTCTGATCGATAATCGATAATCGATCGATAACTGATCGATACTGATCGATAACCATCCATATGGGTCAATACGGGTCGATAGTGATCAATAATCAATGGTAGAGATCAATAGAGATCAATAGAGATCGATAATGATCCAAACCCCAACGCCGTGGTCACGTGAGTCTGATCGATTATTGATCGATAACCGATCGATAACCGATCGATACTGATCGATACTGATCGATAACCGTCCATATGGGTCCATACGGGTCGATAGTGATCAATAATCAATGGTAGAGATCAATAGAGATCGATAGAGATCGATAATGATCCAAACCCCAACGCTGTGGTGAAATGAGTCTGATTGATTATTGATCGATAACGGATCAATACTGATCGATACTGATCGATATCCATCAATAGGGATCGATATGGGCCGGTACTGATCAATAATCGTTGATAGAGATCAGTGTAAATCGATAGAGATCGATAATGATCCAAACCCCAACGCCGTGGTCACGTGAGTCTGATTGATCACCGATCGATAACCGATCGATACTGATCGATACTGATCGATAACCATCCATATGGGTCAATACGGGTCGATAGTGATCAATAATCAATGGCAGAGATCGATAGAGATCAATAGAGATCGATAATGATCCAAACTCCAAGGTTGTGGTCACGTGAGTGTTATTGATCACTGATCGATAACCGATCGATACTGATCGATACTGATCGATAACCGTCCATAGGGGTCAATAGGGGTTGATAGTGATCAATAATCAATGCAGAGATCAATAGAGATCGATAGGGATCGATAATGATCCAAAGCCGTGGTGATCGGGGCTGTTATTAACGGCTATTAACGAGCTCATTAGCGCTAATGAAGGTTGTTAATGAACAAATTAAGGTTAATTAGGGGTAATTAAGAGTAGAAAATGGCCGGGGGGGGTGCGGGGGGAGTTATTGATCACCAATCATTTATCGATCCCGTATCAGAATCAATCTGTAATCAATCAGGTGATTATTAATTGCTATTAATGACCTAATTAGCGCTAATTA